TAAAAACAAGTAGGTGTATATACATGTCAAAACTTCTGTCATCATTATTTTGTCCAGCAACTTTATCAGGAAAAGAAATTTTCTTTGACCAATTAAAGCACCTTCTCAGGAAATTTATTATGAGGAAAGGTCAAAGTTTTATTGTAAACTTGCCACAAAGTAAGTAACTCCTGGGGGTGGGGGAGGAAAGCCTTGCAGGACATGATGGCTGGTTCCTGTAATCCCAGCTACTTGGCAGGCTGAAACAGGAGGACCATTTCAGCCAAGGAGTTTAACACCAGCTTGGGCAACACAGTGAGACCTACTCTCTAAAAAACAAATAAATAATAAAAACAAAAAATAAAAAATTTCAAAGCCACATAAAATATTTCTTTCACAGTAGAGATATTTACAGGGAAAAAAGGAAAATGATAGCAAAAGGAATGCCTGATTAAAGATGTTTGGACAGTCCAGGGCTATTCAAAGTTCATTGTCTCTTTAAATGACCAACTGTTAAGCTTGTCAAAGAGTCGCAGTGTCCCTGGAAAGTATTCCATGTGCACATTCTCCTGGTGGACCTAAATCAACCTACATGTTTCATCTCTTCCCCACACTGACTGGACCTACTAGCATCCTAGCTGGGCTTCTCATTTCTCTCGTCCTCCTCCTCCCATCGCTTCCTGGGAAAGTCACAGATTTACTCACACCATATTCAAATGAACAGAGAATCTGTAGCTCTGTTATTTCACTAAAGTGTTCTCATGAGTAGCAAGAGAAAGAAAAACTAGACCTAGAGCAATTTGGTTTTGAACTTTGTTCTATCCTATAATGTATCAATAAACAGTTTCTTGAAGGTTAAACATTTTTATTTTGAGGCAGAGTCTTGCTCTGTCACCCAGGCTGGAATGTAGTGGTGCCATCTTGGCTCACTGCAGCCTCCACCTCCTGAGTAGCTGGGATCACAGGCACGCGCGACTACAACAAACTAATTTTTTGTATTTTTAGTAGAGACAGGGTTTCACCATGTTGGCCAGGCTGGTCCAGAACTCCTGGCCTGAAGTGATCCTCCTGCCTCAGCCCCTTAAAGTGCTGGGATTACAGGGGTGACAATTGTGCCTGGCCTTTAAGGTTAATTTGATTGCTTTGGAACTTCTTATTGTTTGGGATCAGGCCCTCTGAGTTTTGTTTTTCATTTACACTTTGGAAAGCATGATTGTCTCCCAAGGTCTCTCTGAGGCCCAGCCTCACATATAAGTACCCAACTAAATACCACAAATTTATAAGATCCAGAAATGGCTAGGAAGAAGGCACCAGCAACAGTATCTTCTGTCTCAAGAAGCTCCTTTTACTAAGATCTCTCCTTGCTAGTGATATAACTGTTTTGGATTAAGGTACTGTTTTCTGCAGGTTATTATATAGGTCCTTAAAAAAGAAGGGACAGTGAGCTATTGCCAGTCACTAACATTTTAGTACGAGATAGACTTAATAGCTCTCTATCAAGCCTGAAAGCTGTTCAGCAAGAACTACATTAGAATATGCCACTTTCTTTTTTTTTTTTTTTTTTTTTTGAGACGGAGTTTCGCTCTTGGTACCCAGCCTGCAGTGCAATGGCGCGATCGTGGCTCACGGCAACCTCTGCCTCCTGGCGTCAGGCAATTCTCCTGCCTCAGCCTCCTGAGTAGCTGGGATTACAGGCACGCACCACCATGCCCAACTAATTTTTTGTATTTTTAGTAGAGACGGGGTTTCACCATGTTGACCAGGATGGTCTCGAATCTGTTGACCTCATGATCCACCCGCCTCGGCCTCCCAAAGTGCTGGGATTACAGGCTTGAGCCACCGCGCCGGCAGAATATGCCACTTTCAATAGCAAAGACAATAACAGCTTTAAAGGGATGCTTAATAAAGTGTCTTTGAATTTTTAAGGCATTCTCATAATGATAAACTGTATATTCTTCCTGTAAGGATATTAAAAAAGCTGATGAACAAATGGAGTCAATGACATATCCTACTGAAAGAAAGACCAACTCACTTCCTCTGTGCTCTGTGAATAGCATCAAGTCAGACCTCACTGACAAGGCTGAGGAATCCATCCAGTCTAAAGAGGTAATAGCTCAGCTATCAACCAGTTTTTCCTGCATGCTTTCTGATTTTGACTTAATCCGCATAAAATTTTAAATGTATCTATAATAAAATATTACTGTAGCACTAAGCTCACAAAATATGTCTTTCCCTAACTTTGCTCTAGCATCAGCATGACACTCTAGGTAAGGCTGTCTAATAAGGCTGCATTTATATCAGAGGTCCTTCCTTACTGGGGGAAAAAAAATCTCATAAGACTGTTACACGATATTTTCCTGTGAAGCAAACCATGGGTTAAAACAGTGCCTTGGCATATGTGATACAGATACTACTGGTGAGGCACAAGATTAATTTGAGTCAGATCAGAGCATAAATGCATGCCACACCCAGAATGCAGATAGGTCCCTCATGTATACATCCCAGGCCTGCAGTCCCAGGGCACAACTCACTTGGGTGAGAGTATCTGTTCTCATGCTTACTGTGCCCCTCCTACCCCCAGGCTCCCAGGCTCTGCCCAAGCCCCACTCCACTTGCTTTGACACTCCTTCCACTGATACCCCTCATACTTCTAGTCAGTCCCCATCTGCACCTGAAGTCTCACTTCTCTGTCTCAATTCCAGCTCCCTTCTCTTAATATGCCCAACACCTGCTTTGAGAATCCACCCCACACCCTGAACATTCCCTGTGGTACCCTTTTACAAAACATGATTTCATCTTAATCTCACCTTAACCCATGCTTCTCCCAGCCTCCCCATTTGCTGAGCCCCAGCCCTCTTCCCAACCCCAGGTGATCTTTGCTAGCCCCTGGTGCTCTGTAACCTCATATGCCTTGAAATCCCTCACCCTTGCCCCTGTATCTCAGCTTCAATCCCCAACCTCCAACATCCATACCATCCCACACCTATCCTTGGCCCATTGTTTCCTCCCAAATTAGTTTCCTTCTTCTCCTTGGAAATGGACAGAGACTTGAGATTGAATCGCCTCATAGCTGTTCTTGCCATATTCATGCCCACTTTCCTTGGTCTCATCTGTCAATTATCTGCCTGAAGCTCCTGGATTATCTGTCCCAAAAGCCCTCTTGCCCTTCTCTGGCATTGTTAGTCTATTGTTTTTAATTTAGCTACAACTCTTTCCTTTTAGGTATGTGGTCCTCTATAGCATTTACACATAGACATTTTTTTCTTTTCTGCTAATTTTTTGAAGTCCATTTAAAAAAATAAGCATGCAAAGAAAAATAATGGTATAGATGGTACACCATATAGCAAATGTATGCAAGAATATAGTACAAGAAAGTTTGTACCAAGACACTAGGCAAGAGTGTAGGAAACACTGTTTTAAAACATCTATTGATCGCTGCTGTAACTGCCTCATCAACTGCTATGTAAATCTGCCTCTATGTCTAAAAATTCACCATATTTATAAAGTGGATTTTCAAAACCTAAGAAAGATAAAAAACAGAAAATTAAAAAGGAATTTCCAGATTTCTGGACAAAATCATATAGTTGGTTTACAATCTGATACAACTATGTACTCCACAAACATGGAAATGATAAAATATAAAAAGAGAAAAACCAATTAGATGGATCTAGGCTCTAAAACAAGAGGAATATCTCCTCACATTAGAACCAGAGCAAAAGCACAGTGGTGAACTGGACAAGAGCACAGACCTGCTCTGAAAAGGAGGCTGAAAAACCTGTTTAGCCAATGCCAGGCTTGAGCCTTAGAGGGCAGGAAACAGAGACAGAGTCCTACAACCAAGAAATAAGCTAACGACTGGTCAAATGGCCATATTTTTAAGGAACTCTTTCAGATGGTAATCCAGTCAAAAATGAACAAGGAAGTGAAGAAACTAGAAACTATAATAATCAATAATGAGCTGGCTTATGTCTATAATAATAGCTACTTGGAAGGTTGAAGTGGGGGATCGCTGAAGTTTAGGGGTTCCAGGCTGCACTGAGCTATGATCATGCCACTGTGTCCCAGCCTGAGCAACAGAGCAAGAATCCTTCTCTGATATAAATATAAATAAAATAAGCACACAAAAAGACTCCTAATGTGGTTGGTCACTGCACAAATGCAAAAGAAAATCACAATGAGTTATCACTATACACCGATTAGATTCGTTAAATCTAAAAAGGCTGATTGTGCCAAGCATTGGTAATAGTGTGGTGCAACTGGAACTTATTTAGCTGGTGGGAGGATAAAATGCTAAAGGTACTTGGGAAAACAATTTGGCAGTTTCTTAAGAAGTGAAACATTCACCTACTAAATGATCCAGCCATTTCATTTCTAGTATTTACTCAAGAGAAATGAAAGTATAAGTCCACACAAAGCCTTGTATATGACTGTTCATAGCAGTTTTATGTGTAATAGCCTAAAAGTGGGGACCACACAAATTTATATCAACAGGTGGATGGATTAATAATTTGTGAGATTGGGGGGTGGGTCAATGGGCAAGATGGCCGAGAGAAGCTAGCACCGGAATGCAGCTCCCAGCGAATTAGACTCAGAGGGCTAGAGGACTTCACGATTCCAAACAAAGGGCTGGGTTAGTTTCTGTGGGACTGATAGGGCACTGAATTTAGGCCCAGGGAAGGAGCCACAGGGCGAAAGACGCCTAGGGGAGGAATAAAGCGGAGGGGCGTCCCCACCTGAAACGTGCAGCCGACTGGGAGGGTCAGGGACTTAACCCCGTCGTTGCTCCGTGTCCGATCCTGTGCTTACCTCATCCCTCCTGCAACCCACGGTCCACAAGAGCCCTGCCGGAAGGTGGGACGCTGTGGGTAGTTGATGCAAATCTGAGCAGCGGCTACCGACCAGCCCAGCAAGTTGTCCCACAGACCTGGGGGAGTTTGGACTAAACCAGCTGGACTGACGTCCCACAGAGGGAGGCAGAGTTGAAAGCAGGGAAACAGACCATAAAGCTTGGCAGGCCCCACCTTCACAGAATTCAAACTGAAGCCCTTGCTAGAGAGCTAGGCAGCAAATACACCAGTTTGACCCCAACCAGGAAGATCCAGCTCTGGGAGAGACGCCATTGGGAAGGCGGAGCTAATCTCACAGGCAAACAAACTCCAGGAAGGACCCACCCACCCAACAACCCGACTGAACCCGAGAGAGCCCAGCAACGCCCTCTACAGGCCAAAAAAGACACAGCTTCAACCTCAGTAGAAAACAAAAAGGCTGCTCAGAGACTCCTGAAATCTACAACTTCAAAGATTAAAGGGAAATAAATCCACGAAGATGGGGAAAATAAGCACAAAAAGGATGAAACCATCAAAAACAGAACACCTCTTCTCCTCCCAGGGATCGCAACTCCACACAATCAAGGGAACAAAAAGAAGACAGAGAATGAATCTGATGAATTGACAGAAGCAGGCTTCAGAAGGTGGGTAATAACAAACTTCTCTGAGTTAAAAGACCATGTTCTAACCCAATGCAAAGAAACTGAGAACCTTGAAAAAAGGTTAGATGAAATGCTAACAAGAATAAACAGCTTAGACAAGAACATGAACGACTTGCCGGAGCTGAAAAACACAGCACGAGAACTTTGATTCAGCTGTTGAACTTGTATATCAAGTTTCAACAGCCGAATTGATCAAGCAGAAGAAAGGATATCAGAGATAGAAGATCAAATCAATGAAATAAAATGAGAAGGCAAGATTAGAGAAAAAAGAGTGAAAAGAAATGAACAAAGACTCCAAGAACTATGGGATTATGTGAAAAAACCTAATCTATGCTTGATCAGCATACCTGAATAATGAATCCAAGTTGGAAAACACTCTTCAAGATATTATCCAAGAGAATTTCCAAAACTAACAAGGCAGGCCAACATTCAAATACAGAGAACACCACAGAGATAGTCCTCAAGATGAACAACCCCAAGGCACATAGTTATGAGATTCACCAGGGTTGAAATGAAGGAAAAAATCCTAAGGGCAGCCAGAGAGGAAGGTCGAGTCACCCACAGAAGAAAGACTATCAGATTCACAGTGGATCTCTCAGCAGAAAACCTGCAAACTAGAAGGGAGTGGGGGCCAATATTCAATATCGTTAAAGAAAAGAATTTTCAATCCAGAATTTCATATCCAGCCAGTCAGTGGGGAGATCACCACTGATTCCTTGGAAATACAAACTACCATCAGAGATTACTACAAACAACTCTATGCACATAAACCAAGGAAATACAAACTACCATCAGAGAATACTACAAACAACTCTATGCACATAAACCAGTAAATCTGGAAGAAATAGATAAATTGCTGGACACTTGCACACTCCCAAAACTAAGCCAAGAAGAAGTTGAAACCCTGAATAGACCAATAACAAGGTCTGAAGTCAAGGCAGCAATTAATAGCCTACCAACCAAAAAAAGTCTAGGTTCAGACAGGTTCACAGCCGAATTCTACCAGACATACAAAGAGGAGCTGATACCATACCTGTTGAAACTATTCCAAACAATAAAGAAAGAGGGAATCCTCCCTAACTCTTTCTATGAGACCAACATCATCCTAATACCAAAATCTGGCAGAGACACAACTAAAAAAGAACACTATAGGCCAATGTCCATGATGAACATTGATGCAAAAATCTTCAATAAAATACTGGCAAACTGAATCCAACAGCACATCAAAAAGCTTATCCACCACAATCAAGTAGGCTTCATCCTGGGGATGCAAGGCTGGTTCAACATACACAAATCTATAAACGTAATTCACCACATAAACAGAACCAAAGACAAAAACCACATGATTATCTCAATAGATGCAGAGAAGGCCTTTGACAAAATTCAACAGAGCTTTATGCCAAAAACTCTCAATAACCTAGGTATCGATGAAACGTATCTCAAAACATTAAGATGTTATTTATGTTTTGGCAAACCCACAACCAACATCATACTGAATGGGAAAAAATTAGAAGCATTCCCTTTAAAAACTGGTGCTAGACAAGGATGCCCTCTCTCACCACTTCTGTTCAGCATAGTATTGGAAGTTCTAGCCAGAGCAATTAGGCAAGAAAAAGAAATAAAGCGCATTCAATTAGGAAAAGAAGAAGTCAAATTGTCCCTATTTGCAGATGACATGATCATATATTTAGAAGACCCCATCATCTCAGCCCAAAACCTCCTTAAGCTGATAAGCAACTTTGGCAAGGTCTCAGGATACAAAATCAATGTGCAAAAATCACAAGCATTCCTATACACCAGTAACAGACAAACAGAGAGCCAAATAATGAGTGAACTCCCATTTACAATTGCTACAAAGAGAATAAAATACCTAGGAATATAATTTACAATGGAGGTAAAAGATCTCTTCAAGGAGAACTACAAACCACTGATCAAGGAAATAACAGAGGACACAAACAGATGGAAAAACATTCCATGCTCATGGTTAGGAAGAATCAATATTGTGAAAATGACCATACTGCCCAAAGTAATTTATAGATTCAATGCTATCCCCATCAACCTACCATTTACCTTCACAGAACTGGAAAAAACCACCTTAAACTTCATATGGAACCAAAAGAGAGCCCACATAGCCAAGCAAAAAGAACGAAGCTGGAGGCATCATGCTACCTGATTTCAAACTATACTACAAGGCTACAGTAAGCAAAACAGCATGGTACTGGTACCAAAACAGAGATATAGACCAATGGAACAGAACAGAGGCCTCAGAAGCAAAGCCACGCATCTATAACCATCTGATCTTTGACAAACCAGACAAAAACAAGCAATGGGGAAAGAATTCCCTGTTTAATAAACTTTGTTGTGAAAACTGGCTAGCCATAAGCAGGAAGCTGAAACTGGACCCCTTCCTTACACATTATACAAAAATTAACTCCAGATGGATTTAAGATCTAAACATCAGAACTAACACCATAAAAACCCAGAAGAAAACCTAGTCACAACCATTGGTGACATAGGCACAGGCAAGGACTTCATGACTAAAATACCAAAAGCAATGGCAACGAAAGACAAAATAGACAAATGGGACCTAATTAAACTTAAGAGCTCTGCATAGCAAGCAAAAGAAACAATCATTAGAGTAAACCGGCAACCAACAGAATGGGAAAAAATTTTCACAATCTACCCATCAGACAAAGGGCTAATATCCAGAATCTACAAAGAACTAAAGCAGATTTACAGGAAAAAATCAAACAAACCCATCCAAAAGTAGGAGAAGAATATGAACAGACACTTTTCAAAAGAAGACAAATATGCAGCCAACAAACATATGAAAAAATGCTCATCATCACTGGTCATTAGAGAAATGCAAAGCAAAACCACATTGAGATACCATCTCATGCCAGTTAGAATGGCGATCATTAAAAAATCTGGAGACAACAGTTGCTAGAAAGGATGTGGAGAAATAGGAACACTTTTACACTGTTGGTGGGAGTATAAATTAGTTCAAGCATCGTGGAAAACAGTGTGATGATTTCTCAAGGATCTAGAAATAGAAATTCCATTTGACCCAGTAATCCCATTACTGGGTATATACCCAAAGGATTATAAATCATTCTATCATAAAGACACATGCACACGTATGTTCATTGCAGCACTGTTTACGATAGAAAGACCTGAAATAAACCCAAATGCCCATTGATGATAGACTGGACAAAAAAAAAATGTGGCACATATACACCATGAAATACTATGCAGCCATAAAAAATGGTGAGTTCATGTCCTTTGTAGAGACATGGATGAACCTAGAGATCATTCTCAGCAAACTGACACAAGAACAGAAAACCAAACACCACATGTTTTCACTCATAGGCGGGTGATGAACAATGAGAACACTTGGGCACAGGGAAGGGAGCAAGACTCACAGGACTAGATGGGGGGATGGAGGGGAGGGGAAGGGAGGGGGGACAGCAGGAGATGGTGGGGAGGAAGAGAGGGATAACACCAGGATAGATGCCTGATGTAGGCAACGGGGTTGTGGGAGATGGAGACAGCAAACCACCAAGGCATGTATGTACTTATGCAACAATCCAGTAGGATGCAGGATGTGCACATGTACCCCAGAGCCCAAATACAATTAAAAAATAATAATAATAATAATTTATGAGATAGCCATACAATGAAATACTATGCAGCAATAAGAAGACATGATATGCTGATGTATGCAGCAGCATGGATAAATCTCAAAATACGTATGTTGAGCAAAAGAAGCTATCTGAAAAGGAGTGGATAATGTATTATTTTATTTATATAATGTTCTAAAAATGCGAACTAATCTATAGTGACTGAAAGCATATCAGTAGTTACAGGACTAAAGGAGGAAGAGGACCGGCAACCAAGACATATGGAGAGAGGGCTGATAAAAAAGCAAGAGAAAACGTCTGGGGTAACAGATATGTTTATTATCTTGACTTTTGTGATGCTTTCATGAGTGTGGAGTTGTGTCCACATTTATCTAATTATACATTTCAAATATGTGCACTTTGTTATATGAAAACTACAACTCAAGAAAGCTCTAAACTGCATCAAATTAAATTTAAAATATTTTAGGTATCACTTTTTAACACTCGTATCTCTTTATATCTGTTTTACATTTCTATGTCAGAATAGTTTAACACATGTACAACCTGTCTCATATTTAACACAGCACTTTATGATTTTATGATTTTACTGAAATTTTTGTTTTGTTTTTATCTTATTTAATTATTTTCTATCTTGACAAAACTATTTAAATGATATCATTTTAAATCTTTTATTGTGTATTTTTCCAGAGGCAAAAGAACGTCTTTAAATGACCTGTGTAACATAGATCATGCTATAGGAAGAAGATAGCTCTCTTAATTTCCTGACTCTGTAATTTACTGGTGCCCTGGGACATGCTTAATTTTAATTTTCTTACAAAACAAGGTAATTTTGTAAAGCACTCAGCTCGATGCTTAGTGCTTGATAAAGAGTTGTTGTGCACCTTTTAAAATTTCTGTATATTCTTTTGAACAGTGACCTAACTGAAAGGTTGTGCCCTTTTTGATGATGAGCTTTAGAAAACATCAGCAGGAAAAATGATGGATAAAATCAAAGTATTAAGTAACCAAATATAA